CTTCCAGGCCCCTGCCCAACATTCCCAGCACCCTCTTGCTGATCCAGTATCCAGTTATACATCTTTTCCTTCCTGAGCCACAGTGCACAGCTTCCGTCCATGTACCCCCACATCGCTCCCTGCTCCCTGAAAGTACTCCAGTATTATCTGAGAGTACTTATTGCTTAGCCCATGGCTGCCCAACAATTTTTTTTTTTTTTTTGGTAATGGAGATCAGACTTGAGTCCTTCTGCTTGCAGGACAGGCATGAGAACCACTAGGCTAAATCCCAAGCTGCCCAACCTTTTGATTTGCCTGGGCCACAATGAGTGAAGAGGGATTGTCTTGGGCTACATATAAAGAATATAATTAGTTAATGTATGTAACTAACAAACCCTCCTTTATTTTTAATATTTTATTATAGCATTAAAATGAAATAACATAAGTAAAATCTAATAATTAACCAAGAAAGCTCACATGTCTGCTTAATAACAATACTATATGACTTCACAGGCACTCGCATGGTGGAGGTAGGTAGACATGCTATCTTTGGTAATCACTAATGTGGCACAAGCTCATGTAATGCCTGATTCATATTCTCTGAGACATTAGAAGCCTGGAGGAAAAAAATGTAGCATGGTAAGTTGTCATAAAAACATGAATTCATTTTGAAATTTGCAACATCAATGATTTCATGGAAGCCATCCACATTCCACTTAAAGATGTGGAAGTCTCTTTTCCAAGGTAGCACAGCCAGTAAAGGCAGAGTCTTGGTTCCAAATGAAGTACTCTGAGACGCTCACCAATGTTCCCTTGGTCATTATAATTCCAGCTCTGAGACTTAGTAGAGAAGGCAATGCTCACCCTCCTGAGTCACTGGAAGCCCTGCTGAGTATTACAGAGGACTGAGTGCAACTACCTACTCAGAACAGAAGAGTGCCTGCCACATGCTCACAGCATTTGAGATTGCAAAAGCCATGCTTGAAATGAAATCTAATGATCAGTATTCACTTTTATGGCATGGTTTATAAATATAGGGTCTCATAAACAGCCACTGTGACCAATCAAAAGCCTGTTAAGTGCCTAGAGCTTTTATTTCAGAGCTAACAATCTGAGTTCCTCACATGTCCCCACTAATGATGCCCCATATGACCCTGAGCCCGACTTAAACTTCTTGTGCCTCATTTTCTCTGACTGTAATGAGGAGATAATGACACTAGCCCCTGGACCATGTTGGCAACATGCTCGGAGATCCCCAGATCAAAGCTGGGCCAAGCGAGATGATAGTGGTGCTCACCATCATTAGTGTTATTATTGTTGTTGTTGTTTGGAGTGACCACGATGAAGCCCAGGAAGCAGACACAACTTCCTGGGTTGATTCAGCACCAGATATAACTGGGGAGGCACCTTTTTGCACTGCAGAAGCCACTGCTGTTGAGACTGCCCCTTTCACTGAATCAGAGGATGGCACATTCCTAGACTCCTCCTACGGCATGAGGCATTGCCCTCCCTGGAGAGTGGACCATGCCTCAAATACCTCCAAGATGTAAATATCTGTCTGTCTGTGGGGGAAAGCGGCCAATGATAGACACCATTATGTGTTTGGTGATAAGGTTACCCTCATCACATCGCCAGTTAATGAGCCTTGGGCTTGCAGCCGGGAAGCATTAGACTGGAGTCCCAACTCTACCACCTTATGACCTTATCTATGAGCCATAATTTCTCAAGGTCATCATTTCCTGACTGTAATAAGGATGTTATTTTAGTGATTGTAAAATGATGATCACTAAAGCAATTCCTTGGTCTCCTGGTCCTGACACTTATAGTGACCTTAAAAGTCACAGCAGGGGCTTCTGCCCACACAAGGTACTGCCTGGCACATTTCGCCATAGTTTAATGACACTGCCTAGCCCTGCTCTTCAGCAGGCAGTTGGTCCCTCACCGCATGCAAGCAGTAATGTCCTAAGTCTGAGACAAGACAACACACTGAACTTGGTTTGGAATTTACCAGCAAACTAGGAACTCAAAATAGAGACCCAAGTTCTTTGTGCTAGTAAATGCTCACTGTGGTTCTTAAAGTGTGCTCATGTAGGGGCATCACCTGCCTTAACGTGACCAATGCACCAAAAGTCACCTATCTGGACCCTTCATCCATCTGGGTGAATTTGGAAAGAAGCCCCTTCAGGCTGCTTGTTGTCCTGTGGACACCTGGCTTATTAGCAGATTTTGTGATGTGCAAATGGGCACAGCCCTCTGCCAGGGCCAAGTCTTGATATGTGGAACACGGGCTGGATCTTAACACCTAAGAGTCCCCTTAGCCTACACTCCTAGGAGTTCACTGGAGCCCCTTATGTACCTTAAAGAGTTGCCTCATCCCCACCATCATTAACTGCTTTTTAATGCTTTATATGATATTGGCCAACTTTCAAATTATTTATTTGAATAAAATTGGATGTTTAAAGGTCTAATAACTAATATGCTCCAATGTGAAAAACATTTTCTTAGGCAATGGTAGTTTAAAGGAATAAGTGCAAGAATTTTTAGTTTCTGTGAGCTCAGGACTACAAAAAATGTTCTTTCTTCTTTCTAATTGGATGTACTTTCTAGCTGGGACCCCTACTCTGATCAGTGTAGAATAATTAGTTTAGTTACTTTCAAGTAAAATAAGTCCACACTCATTGTTTTTTAATCACCATTTTCATCTCAGTATCACTGTGTGTACAATGAAAAAAGGCATTTATCACCTCCGTCTTGGTCATATGCTGGCCTCTGACTTCAAATGTGAATCACAATCACCCCACCTGGTCGTGCTCCATGCTGGAGAAGTTGGGATGTGGCCACATCTTTGTCAGATGCCTGGGAACATCATCTGAACACCCTCTGGCCTCCTGTGGGATTCGGTCTCATCTCATCATAGAGCCCCTGGCAAGCCTCTCAGCTCTGCGTTTTGTTTTCTCTCTTCCCTCCTCTTTCTCTCTCTCTCTCTCTCTCTCTCTCTCTTTCACTCTCTCTCTCTCTCTCTCATCCTGTCTCTTTGCTATGTGGTATGATCAAAATATACAGTGAATGTTTAAATTTTAAAATAATTTATTATAGTAAGAGACACATTGCCGTTAACCCCCCTCACTTTGACCATGCTCTTCCCATGACTCTTGCCACTTTCTGAGCAGTTCTGGAAGTTCTCTCTCCTGAGTGTCTTTATTAGGTGTGATCAATAATACAGTGAATGCTACTGCCAAGTCATTCCAACAGAATGTAAACACATTACAGTATATCCTTATCTGCCTTATTCACTGGATCTGGCATGTGCAAATTTAGGCTCTTTCCCAAAGTAAAAATGACCGTGAGAAGTAAACATTTCGAATGGATCCAGGACATTGAGGCAGCCACAGATGCACAACTAAAGCACTTATGAAAGAGAACTTCAATAACTGCTTTAAAAAATGTCAGGAACAACGGAATAAATGAGTTCAAAGCAAGAGAGAGTCTTTTATGGGGATTAATGGCAATGTGTCTTTTACTGTAATAATTTTTTAGTTTAAATATTCACCATATGTTTTCATCATATCTATACATCAACTTAATGCCAGGCTTGGCATTCTGAGGCTTTGGGAAACTTGGGTGGCTGTCCCAATGCCTCCTTCTCCCCACAAAAATCACACCATTTTTACTCTATCACAGCCTCTCTATGATAAGTAGAAGGCTCACCTGATGATTGGTGACACCCAGCCTGTCCCTTGAGAAAACTGTTAGGGCTTTCCTGATCCTACCATTCCTCCATGGCCAAGTTACATCTCAGAAGTATAGGGAGACACAGAGGAAGGCCATTAACACTCTTTTTTAGCCCTCTTCCTTCATCTCTGTCTCTCTTCTTCCCAGAGCAAGAGTCAGGGTCAGTGGTCAGGAAAGGAATTGACTGATCACCTGCACCTCCTGAATTTTGCTGTCTTATATCTGGACCATCAAACATGTAAACATAAAAGTAAACATGTGCCACCTCAGTTTGGAAGATACACCCTGTCATGGAGAAAGGTTCTCAGAATGCAAGTATGTGGAATATGGAAGGTGTGGCAACATTTGCCTTCATATGTCTCAAGTTAGCACTTGTGGATAGAGACAAGTAGAGGAGGAGGGTGGAGGCGGGACATTATCAGTGCTCTGTGAATGGGGTCACGCTAAGAAAAATGAATGTCAAGCAATGGAACTAAAACCAAAGCAAAATGGGAAGACTCCGTAAAGCTGTGCATCAAAGGCTTTTTTTCCCCAAAATGTGTGTCTCCTACAGCCTAGCATTCCTTTCCTGGGGGTTATCTTAAGATTTCAGACAAATACAGAATGGTCATGTATGAAGAAGTTCCATGCAAAATTATTTACAATGGTAATAATCTCTGTGTTCCACAGTAATAAGCAGATATGTAAATAACTATGTTCTTGCAATAGAATATTATGTAATCATTAAAAAGTGATGATTCTAAAGCTTTAGTTAGTGAAGTACAAAGATATCAAGATGTCTGATTGAGTGAAAAAACAAGTTACTAAACCAGAAGAATAGCATAAGCACATTTTTATTGCATGGATATGGGATGTTTTATTTATGTTATAAGGACATATACATTCATCATCCAGTATCTGCAGTGTTCTCCTTCCAGGACCCTCACTCCTTACCAAAATCCCTGGATAGTCAAGTCCCTTACATAAAATAGCATAATATTTGCCCATTTTAAATCATATCTAAATTTTTCCTAATACCCAATACAATATAAATGTTATATAAATAGCTGTTTTTGAAGAACTGGCTATATAAGATACCAAATTTACATACAAATGTACAAAGATAAATATGATATATAAATATTGGTAGTGGCTATTCTGATATGGAATGTTCCGTTTTCTTTGTCTATATGCTCCAAACTTTCTGAAAAGAACTAGTATTAATTTTATGATTTAAAAAGTAAGAAAAAAGGTTCTGATTATGTTCAGAAGATAACTTGTGTGGTTTGGAAAAATTAGAAGTCACTCACAGACTCACAGGCAAAGCAGAGAATTACTACTCCTGGAAATGCACTAAGAAGACCAATGTTCTGGCTTCTGAGACAGCTCCTCTCTGCCTCTGCCCTTCACAAACGGTGAGTCAGGGTTCCTTGTGGCAAGAAACAGAGTCCAAGATGAGTAGTTTCTGCAGAAAGAAAATTTATTAAAAGATATTGGTACTACTGTTCCTGGGAAGATGGAGTAGATGTTTTTCTCACTCTCTCTCCCATTAAGTATATCTAAAAACCATAGTTATTGTACATAAAACAATCACAAGGAGACTAGATGATAGCAATTAGGCTAGGGACTTGGGACCCCAAGAGTGATGACACAAAGTTGAGTTTTCTGGGATTCATTTTTGGCTCGTATATTCCAGACTTGGATGAAGCTTGCACTTTGGAAATGAGAAGTGCAAATAAGCAGAAACAATAAAATCCCCAATGTCTACACATCTATAATCCCAGAACTCTGGAAGTCTGACACAGGAGGGTCACAAGTTCAAGACCAGCCTGTCTCAAAATTTTAAGAAAATATTTTAGAGGACCCTGAGCTCAATCCCCAGTAAAACACACACACACACACACACACACACACACACACACACACACACACGCCAAATGTCTTTAGCCAAGAGCAAGGAAAGGCATTTGGTAGAAAGAAAGAAAAATTTAGACAATCAGTTTACCACCAAAGAAAAAACTGGGAGTCCAACCTCACCAAGGCCAGCAAAGGCGAAAATGGGGAGTAATATATTTTTGAAATAGCTACATTTGGGGAGTAGACCCATTTGGGGAGTAGCCAGGCTGTAAGAAGTCTCCTCAACACCCTCTTAGTGTGCTGTCAGAGAAGACCAAGTAGGGAGTTGTGACTCTCATCTACACCGAGTGGCTATGAGCACCTGCCTCACCAGTGTTGATGGAGCCTCATGAGGAGCCTGGACTCTTCCACCTCCAGCCAGCAGTGTGGAGGTACCCTTTCCTACCCATGTCTGGATGGGATGCCCTATGGGAAGTCAGGGCTTCAATGGCACCCAAAGATAATGAGGACCCCTCCCTGTATTGTGAGGTCAGTGGAGGACACATAGCAAGCAATAGCAGGGCACTTCCACCTTGCTGATCAGAGTGATACCAGCAAAGGCCTCATCGCAAGTCAAAACTTCCACTTCTACCCCCAAAGATGCACTCAGATGTCAGCAGGAAACAAATGAAGAACCTAGGCTTCTACCCCTACCTGGCAGTAACAAAGTAGCACCTCCTTCTCCCTGTCAACCCCATGTTTAAAACATCTGGCTAAATCAGAAGGTATAAATAAGATTTACAGTATAACATAATACTTTAATATTTCAATAAAAACAACTCATACTAAGAATCAAGAAAATTTAGATCCTAATGATATAATTGACAGTGTGAAATAGGAAGAAAAGGGCTAAAGGCATAGGGGAAGTGGGAAGGGAAGGGGAAAGGTAATAACGGAAAAAAATGAGAAAATGAAAAAATGGAAATAAAGTATTTGTAAATAGGGAAGGGAGGAGGGGGTGAAGGAAGGGCAGGAGTAAGGGGAAAAAATGAGAACCAAGACCTGTCATGTAAAGGTACAAGATCCCAATGATGAATGTAACTGTACTGTATACCTAAATTGTACCAATAAACTCAATGAGAAAAAAAAAGAATCAAGAAAATTTTAACTTGAATGTTAAAGATAATCAACAGATACTAACCTCAGATTGTTAGAAATATTAGAATTGTCTGTAAAGATTTTCAAGCAGATATCATATGAATGCCTCAAACTACATTTGTGAACATAGTTGAAACAAGTGGAAAAACAGAGTTTTTTTCAGATAAATAGGATGACTCAGTAAATAAGTAGGAGATATAAAGGAGAACCAAATGAAATCTTACAACTGAAAAACAGTAACCAAAAAAGTTAAAGCTTAATGAACAAGCACAGGAAAGAATCTGTGGACTTAAAGACAGAAGTATAGAAATAACTCCACCTGAATGATAGAGCAATAACAAACTCAACTGAAAAAAATCAACAAAGCCTCAGGGCTGTGAAGAACTACAACAAAATACTTGACTCTCATGACATTAGAGATCCAGAACAGGAGGAAAAAGAGAAAAAGACTGAAGAAGTATTTGAAGAAATAATGGCTGAAATCTACTCAACTTTGCAAAAGACATAAACCTACAGATTCTAGAAGTAGAGCTGCAAACTCCAAACAAGATAAACCCCCAAAAATTGATTCCAAAACATATCATGGGAAAACTTCTGTAAACTAACAATAAAAATCTTAAAAGCAGCTATGGAGAAACAACACCTTACCTCTAAATTTGAGTGACAGCAGATTTCTCATCAGACACTGTCAAGGCCAAATTTTGAGGTGACATAAAATTTCTTCAAATGTTAAAGGCAAAGACCCATCATTTCAGAATACAATATCCTTCGGGAATAAATGAGAAATCAAGACATTTTCACATGAAGGAAACTAAATTAAATTTAGGTAAAGAAAATTCTCTATAAATAGAAAGAAAATGACAAAATAATCTTAAAACATTAGGAAGATCAAAGAATATGGTAAGAAAAAAAAACTACAAGAAAAATCAAGGTTTTTATCTTGGGTTCTCTAAATTATGTTTGAGTTTGACATTTGAAGCAAAAATTATGACACTGTCTGATGTGATTTGAACTGAATTTGGAGGAATTATTTAAAATAATTATATTACAAACAGAGGAAATATAGTTATATAAAGGAAGGTAAGTTTTCATGTTTTACCTGAACTGGTAAATGTCAGTATCAGTAGATCATGATGTCATATTCATGCAATATAATTTCTAGAGTAATCACTAAAAGAACTATCAAAGGGGCTGCCTGCCTACCTGCCTGTCTGCGATCACCCGGCGGCGTGCGCGTGAGCTCCCGGCCTGCGATAAAATAATTATTACAAACAGAGGAAATATAGTTATATAAAGGAAGGTAAGTTTTCATGTTTTACCTGAACTGGTAAATGTCAGTATCAGTAGATCATGATGTCATATTCATGCAATATAATTTCTAGAGTAATCACTAAAAAAAAA